AAATTTGGTTAAAGAAATATACCTTTCATTTGACGAAAAACGAAGGCCTAAACGAAAATAAAAAATTCCTCATAAAAGTTTCGCCTGTGTATTGACAAGGTAATAGTGCTTTCCTTATATTTTTTGCTATGAAATTAACAAAAATATAGCAATAAACAATTACTGATGTCATGGTTTTACAGAAAAGGAAGCAGTCTCTTGACTGTATGCGTCTCTCTCAGGGATGAAATGTATGCAATCTGTTTGACTCTCTTACATTATTTTATATAGGTATTATCGATTTATCCGCTATGAAGGCGAATGTTTTATAGGGTGTATTACTTCATGATTTTTTTTTTTTGAGGAAAGTAAAACAATAAAATATAAACTATTTATGGAAGGTATAAGCACAGTATATATAAGTATAGGTTATAAACAGTAAGGCTATTGCTTTGCAAAATACAATAAATTCCTAATAAAAAAATTCAATAATTAGAAGTATATAAAGCATAAATTAATAATATTAAAATGTATAAGTACAGGACTCAAACTAATCAAAATCAGATTCACCACATTAATCTACATTTTACAAAACATTAGCGGCTATGATCAAACTATTTCTGCAGTTTTTCTGTGCCATACAGGTGCATTAACCGATGTAGCCAATATTTTTTTCTGCATTTGCAAATTTTGCTTCCATAGCCTAGAATAGAATAATATTATTAAAATATTGTACATATATGAAAATTATCGGTGTATAGTACCTTTTTTGCATTTGCATGATAAGTTCTGTTATTTATGGTAGCAGGTCGAGCATAATCTTAAGAGTGGGTATCAGGCTTCAATCTCGATCTACTTTCCATTCATACTCTTCAACATTAGGAAGCTGCATCTGGGTCTTTAAAGAGCTTAGCCAAATACTTAGCTGGTAAAAACATCTCAAACAATGTAATCTTAGGGCGTCTTCAGTCAATAGCAATTTAGCAATTATTTTAAAGGGGCCTTTAATCTCCTCAAAATGTTAATGGCATTGGCAGTTTTTGAATACAGTTTTATGAAAAAAATTTCAAGAAAAAAGAATGTGTTTTCAGAGTACCTACGAATCAGTGCCAAATCCATCCAAAAGGTGATGGTGTTCAAGGTAGGTTTTCCAACAGGTTCTTTTTCCAATGCCAGACAGTTGGTCGGATTTATTACGACCTGTCACAGAATAAAAAGAAGGCAAATTTGTTTTTTTATCCAAATTTAAATCATGTACTGTTATAAATCGTCACGAGTCTCCTCGCCTTATTATGAACCATATCTTTTTAGTTCAAAACTACTTAAAATAAATTAATAAGACTAGAACATCTGTATCGTTGCAATCAATAATGCAGCGTGAATTCCCCGAATTTCTGGCTGATAATATGTGCAACAAGATACGAGTATCAACTTCTTCAAGATTTAAATTTAAGAAATCGTCTTTTGATGGTTCAAAACTCATCCCATATTTATTGATACTCGCGAATCCATCACTAGATACAAATTTTCAAGAAGTTGCTCTGACAGAAAATGTGATAAACGTCTTTTATTAAATATCGAATGAATGAACAAGTTTCATTATTCTGGAAGTGGAATATTGGGTCGGTCAATTTCTATATCAATTGATTTCTGGGATCATCTCTTTTGACGTGTATTTTTGATAGAATTTTATTTATAATGATTAAATACCACATCTATCCTTTATGAGTATTAAATTTATTTTTAAAAATAATCTTTACAAATATATTAGCATATTCTTTAAATGATATGCAACTTTTGGACTTTCCCAAACCTTGAGCTATTGCTATCCCATCAAAAATGTGACAAGTTTTGCAAGATCACCTAGGTGCAGGTACGTCTTTGTGGGTCATATTGCTCCAAAATATTTCCCAATAAACTCTTATTTGTAGAGGTGCCGAGATACCCATTTACTGTTAGAGACATGGGAGAGGCTGTCAGATCAAACTTAAATATTTCGGCATAATTACCTAATGCTTCTGTCCATATCCTTTGCTAATAAAATTTTGTGAAGAAACTGTTGACCATGCAAGGATTAAGAAGTCATATTTTGATATTATTTGTGTCTTTACTTCTTGCAACAACAAATCCGTAATTAAAATGTTTAACGAAAACTTACCCAACTTACCCAAATATATTCAGGCATTCAGCTATAACAGGATGAATATAGATGTAATAAAAACCTAAAAAATGTCTATATTTCGTCCCAATTTATTAGGAACTTTAATATGTAACACACTTATTAATTTTTTAGTAAAAACAGACAATATGACACTTTGTCCATTGGCAACTAAAGAAAAGTTTTATAATAAAAAAATTAAAAAAAATTGAGCATATCAATAATGTGATGCATCAGCCGACACGTAGAGAGAAACAGAGCTATACTACGTTTTTCATTAGGGCCTTCCTTTTTGTTAAATGATAAAATTATATTAAAAAAATGACTTTTTAAACAAATTTTTGAAGGGCTGAATTTTTTTTTAAATAAGTATAAAAAATTACTCCTTACAAAGATTTTATTGTGCATTGGACCAAAAAATAAATATTTATTTTTTATTCGGCGTATCAGAATCTGGATTTTTGATGATAGTGCCCTTCTGCACAGTCTAATTTTGTGTTACCTCCGGAATAAGGGTTACCTTATCATGACCTTTTATCTCTGAAAAATTCAGCTTGTGACAAAGGGAGGTAAATCGTTTTCTCGAACGAATATTTTAATGCATACACTCTACTAATAATAATTGATTAAGAGTAAAAAAGCGTCCATAGTTTAGCAATACATTCCCTTCTATAGCACATAATAATATGTCCTCGATACAAAAAGTCAAAGTAACAAAAACAGGAGGCCAATGTAAATAAACAATAAACGGTCTCATGACATTTTATATTTTTAAATAAACTAGGTGTTTAAAAAATATTTTCTATACCTGTTATTTTTTATATTCAAGCGGATTTTTCTTGCTAATAAATTTCCAAATCTTATTTTGCTCTGGATTTATTGTCCATGTCATATTAAAAGGCTTTAGCAAACAATAAAAGATTTTATGAGATTGTTTAAAAAATGCCTTTTCTTTTTTTACAAATATCTCCAAATTTTGAAACAGTGACTCGTTTTCGTCTTTCATTTTGCTACAATCCACAATCATCTTGATCTCTTGTCACATTCATTTTTTTCTCATCTATAGACATTATCAAACTTTTTAGAAAATCTTCTTTTGCAACGCGCATCAAAGAGTGTGAGAGATCAAAGCCACGCTCGAAAGCAAAAAAAATGATTTACTAAGTTCGAAAAAATATACATTACTTTAACAGTTTAAAGAGTTGTTAACATGCTGGAATTCATTATTCTTAACTCGAAGATGTATTCATTAAAAAAAATTCCCGTGCAATATAAAAGTTAATTTATAATTCAAATCTTATTGTATACTTTTTAATTTCGGATATATTTTTTTAATAAATAAATGATAAAATGTATTTAAAATAATTGAGCGTATGTAAAATAACAAAGTGTACAGACATAAAACAAAATAAATTCAAATCACTTGCGTACGTTTATCACTTGTAAACAGTAGAAAAGGATATACATTTTGTTGGTGTCGCCCTGTAGACGAAAAAGCTTTTAACGTATTTTTTTAATTTTTATTGAGAAAAATAAATGTTCCTGTAAAAATTAAAAACATATATTGTTCTCTTCTAGCATTTTTATTTGAATTTTTTTTTTTTTTTTTTCGATAGAAAGATATCTACTTACATTTTCTCAAAATAAACCAATTCAAATGTTCAAAAAGTGACTCCTTTACCTGTACTTACATAATTTTTCAAAAAATAAAAAATGATCCGTAAAATTGGTGTACTACGAAACCCATTGCATATTATATAAATATGTCTATATTAGTATTACAGAAATGATTTACGTAAAACAATAAGGTGTACCTACAAATACGTAAACTTTAATTATCCCTCGTAAAACATCAGTAAAATATTTTGTAAATTGTTTTCATTCACAAATATTAATTTCTTAAAAATCTAACAGAGGCGCCACTTGCCAGACGAAAAATCTTGCAATGTAAGGGTTTCGTAGTACCCCACTTTTAAAGTTAATATTTAAGTATTTTTAAGAGAAAAAAATATGTACGTGTAGATAAAGGTTAAATCTATGCTCCTCTGGAACCACTTTTTCAAAATTCAATTTAGTTTTTTCTAAAAAAAATTGAGAAAATGGATAAAAAAAGTCGAGTTTTGTTTTTTTTTTTTTAGAAAAAACAAATTGAAATTTTGAAAAAGTGTTTCCAGAGGAGCACAGATTTAACCTTTACCTACACGCACATATTTTTTTCTTTTAAAATTTTTCAAAAATAAACTTTAAAAGTGGGGTACTACGAAACCCTTGCATGCTCTGCTCTAAAGCCAAGTAAATACTCCTCTTAAAATCTTTTAGAATTCAGTATTAGATAGCAGAACAAACTATTTTACTATTATAGTTTGTAATCAAAAATAGGTGAATGCTGAACGGCTGCTAGAGGAGATAATTTGCATAGATGTTGATAGGGCAATCCCTGTGAAAAGTTAAATTGGAAAACAATGCATGCCAATATTCTGAGACAGTTGCTTATTTCATCAACTTATTTTAGTGATAACATTGGTACTAAAATAACAGAAAAATAAGGACCTGTGGATAGGGTGCACACAAGCATTTACCACTGAAGTGGTAGAAGCCCATCAAATGAGCACTTATGATTAAATAAAATTGTGCAACTGCCTGTCATAATAAGGGCATCTAGAGACTTTTCTTGGTGAACGTACTTAATCAGTGGAATTTTGAGAAGCTATGATGCAGCTCCTATGTGTCTCTGGACCCTGGGAAAAGCACAATATGCCTAGTGATGTGGTGCAAGGGACAACCCACCCATCCTCACCTTAGAGGTACAAAATGGGTAAATAAGTCATAATTCAGAAGATAAAAAAAAAAGGTTTACAATAAATTAATGTTAACAACTTTATTTCAACTAAACTGACATCTAACCGGTAGTATACGCTGAAAACCTACATACTAATAAAAACATCACGACTTATTTCAATTTGCTGAATAGATCTTTGGTAACACAGTGGTCTATTGCATGTAGCATATCAAACAGTTCTTCTGCGCAAATCTCAGTTGTTTGTGACCTGGATAAAACTCTTTCGTTGCAGGCTTGATATTTTTCGGCTAATTTTTCTACATGTTCGGTTTCTCTACATTTTTCCTAAAAATAAAAAGGAACTAAGTCGCTGGGAATGAAAGAATTTTAGGTTATGGCTTTTACCCTTAAAACTTCTTGTGGATCTTGCAATTCTTCCTCTTCCTCTTCAGCTTTGACTGAAAGCAATTTTGGAAACTTAAGGAACCTTTCGAAGAACATTTTTTTATAAAAAAATTAGAAAATTCGAATGAATTGACTTACGTAATGAAACTGTCAAATGTCAATTGAGTAAATGTCAGTTACCAAAATACCAACTGTCGCAATTCCAAATTCCAACGTAACACATTGCTACCAATGTAATATTCTGGAAATGTATAATAATCTTAGTTATAAACGATTAAAATATCTTCAGGTAGCATAGATAGTTACGAAATCTGATAATTGCATGCATGAATTTACACATTGCCTCACTTCGATTTTCGTTCAAGAACGACTCAGCTGAGTCGGACTTGGCTTAATTTGTCTAACGCTTCTCATCTGAGTCGGACTTGGCTGAGTCGTCCTTGAACGAAAATCGAAGTTCGGTTATATCGCGTGAATTTAGAGATGGGTGGTAACAAATCCGTACAAAACAGTTACATATTTGCTAATATCTATCTCTAAATTCCAGTGTAACACCGGAACCACCTGGAACTTTAGAGACGTAACCAAACTTCGATTTTAGTTCAAGGACGACTTACTCAAGTCCGACTCAGGTGAGTTCTGTTTATAAATACGGACCTAAATGCTGGCCTTAGTGTGCATTAGTGTTGGTATCGTAGCCATAACCAAATATCAAATAAGCAACTTATAAACCAAATAATATTAATTAATAAGTTCATTCAAAATAAATTTATGGTGAATTTAATTATTCGATATCATGTGTAATTCTATCATAGTTTTAAATATACTTCCAAACATTTATTTTCTAAAAGAAAATACTTGACTAATGCAGTACAAATATGACATTTATCATTTATCGAGGTTAGGTAGTTCAGTGCTTCTAGCTGGGGTTTTGTTTAAAAAATCGTTGTTTTGCAATTCGATAAATATTTATAATTAAAATCTTAAATTAAGTATTGTAAACCAATTTAAAAATCAAAATTAGCTCGTCAATAATAACATGCCCGCTTTTTTCATTTTCGAGCCTAGCTGATTTCTGATTGTTTACTTCATTTTATTATATTTGTTAATAAAATCGTAAATTGTATATTAAAACTATTGTAAAAGGTGAGAAATGTTGGAGATATATTATCCAGAGTATAAAGTAATGTATTTTTGACAAAACTTAATGAACACTTTTCTTGTCCACAGAGTTATGAACGGGACTACAATGGATCGACATGGACATGGTCAGGCTAATCCTAAACTTCCCAGGAATTACAAGTTGATAGTAGACCCGTTTTTGGTAAAAGGGGCTGCTAAACTTTATAGGTATGACGGAGTGGTACCGAATGATACTTCGTGTCCTCCTGTTGTACCTAGAGATCCTAGATCTCATTTGACTAGAATATGGACCAGATTGGAAACCCTGGACTTACCAGTACCTAGGTAAAGTTACAAGTATCAAATGGAGAATAAAAATTACCTTTTAACTATTCTCTTTTTGGTACAATTTTTGAAAGTAAACAAATATATAATATAGTCCCTGGATCACTTGAAATAACGAATTTTTATTAAAAAATTATGCATTTAACTTAAAAATAATAAAAAACAATACTAAGAAGACTAACATTCATAAATATTTTAATTAAACATGTTTAACCTCTAATTTGAAGAAAATAATATTTTTCAAAAATGTCTTTGTAAGTAATTTATAAATGTTTTATACAATAGAATTGGTCTCTTAGCCAATTTGAATGTTTAAAAACATTTGTTTAATTTTTAATAAAGTGAGGTTATGTTTTCAATAATTATTATTTTTGACTTTTCATAAACAAACTTGCAGTAATTCGTTACAATAATGTTTTATTGATCAAAAAGGATTTAATAATTTATTAATATTTCTTCAATTTATGATAATTTATCAACCTGAAATATTGTGAAATGTTTCATACAAAATATTGACCAAACATGACACATAACCTTACTTTTTTATTGAATATTTAATGTAATGTGCAATTTATTTTACTAATAAGCAAAGATCGTTGATGATGAGGATGAGTGATTGGTTTTAACTTCGGTTTTTTAAATACTTTTTTATTTAAAGCATTTGATACATTAAAGACTGTCAAAAGATTGCACATAATTTACAAAAGGGGGGGAGGGTTATTTAGTGAAAATCAGTCATGAACAACTACTAGAATAAACTTAGGTTTGTTCCAACACAATAGCAAATTGGTTTATGTACGGTTGTCTAGATTTGGTGTTCCAACAAACGTCGGACTCAAAACTGTACAAAAACCTAGTGTTTCAACAAACTCAAACTTAATCACAAACCAGTTTCTCTACTGTCAAATTAGTTCCTGGGTCTGAATAGGAACCAATTGTCAAGACATGTGCAAACACGAAAGGTAGCTCATAAATAAATTACAACCAACTCTGGAAATGTCATGATTATATTCGTTTTGATAGCATCTATCGTAGTCTCGATCGTAATTCGGTTTTTATTTATTATTATTATGTATAGTATATTATTTTATTTTATGAGCAATGAGTATAGAAGTGAAAATGACTATTATTCTGATTTAGATACAGTAAAAAATAAAATAAGTTAATGTACTAACCAATCGAATAATCAAAATTTATTAATCTTTTAATGAGTTTTATAATTTTTTTATAAATTTAAAATTTAATATCTGTTAAATTTTTTTACTTTTACGTTATTAACAACAGAAACATGTGTTCCAACACAACCAAGTTCCTAATTTAGTCCCAATCATGGACAGGTTGTGGACTGGTCTTCGACTATCAGTTGTCGACAATTAGTTGTGAAATGGTTTGTGTATGGTTCCAAGATTGTTGTTGGAACAAACCTCTGTAATCGAATTGCAAACATTCATGTGTCATCCACATAGTAGTCAAATTATTATGGGAGAGTTATTACAAGGACTGTTTATGGTTATAATTCTGAATTGACAACATAATGATCTAATACCCACAAATTACAATAAGGAAGTATATTTATATCATAGTTGAAGTGTAGTAGCCATAATTACTGATTCATTCTTAAAACATGTGCTCGTACCTCAGATAAACAAACTCCTGCAAACTATCCCTGAGAGACATCTCTCTCGGCAGCTGATGGGACAGCTCTCTCTGCCTGATACAAAACACAATCACACAATCTGAATTCTTGCAATAAATAAGGACTTAATTCTGAATGAAGAGATTAATCTAGTAGTTTTTTGTCGTAAGTGGTAATGCAGGAATCTTTGGCAGTACCAATTGCAGAAATAGTATTAAAATGCAACTATACTTACATTATATTCATGAGACATTCACATTTAATTTCAGGGCTTGAGCAAATGAAAGTATTATACCTGTAGTTTGTTTTGTTATTTCATTGAAAGCTATTTAGGTATATCATAATAATCATAAAAAAGTCCTATACAAGCTGATTTTCAAGGTTTTTAGAAATCTTCTATCTAGGATCTTGTCCGCGCACGGTACAGGCTAAAGTACCTTCTGACAAAATATTTGGCTCCTTATCACATGCCCTAATTGTAGCAACCCAATTGACATTTAAGACTAGAACTACTTGCCATCTTGAGTGGCCTTCTGTTTGTTACAAAATTTTTTCTCTGCAGTTTATTACACTTTTCTTTATCTAATTTCTTCGAGTGACCTGGAAGATATCATCACAGGTGTAATATCCGCTGGTCCACTTGTAAGTTTCTATTAAGTCTCCTCTAGTTTTTCTATCCTTTGTAAGTTGTAGTTTGGCTAGCCAATCACAATACTCATTGTTTTTTAGGGTTGGTGATATTTTGGTGACTCTCTTTTGTACTCTTTCCAGCAGTTCAATGTCTTTTATAAAGTATGGATCCCAGAGGATCTATGTAAATTCTGTCTTTTTGGTCTTATGTAAGTTGTATATAGTTTGAAGATCATATCTTCGGAATGGTCTTTAAAAGCTCTTTTGATAAGGTAAATGAGACTGTTGACTTTCTTCACTATATTAGCAATCTGGGGTTCCCATTTTAAGTCTTTAGACATGGTTACACCTAAATACTTTTGTGTTTCAACTGGAGTAATTGCATTTGTATCTAAGGTGTACTGTGTGTGGGGGTTATTTGGACCTATGTGCAATACTGTACACTTGTTTAAGTTGAGATGTAGTAGCCATTGTTGGGACCAGATTCCTATTTTATTCAAGTCTTATTTCATTTGGTTAGAGCTTTCCAGTGGCTTACAGTAGATCTTTCCGTCGTCTGCATAAAAGTTAGCTTCGGACTTGATGATTTTGCATAAATCGCTGGTGTATAAAAAAAATAACAGGGAACTCAAGACCGAGCCTTGTGGTACTCCACTTTGAACTGGATGAATTTATTAAAACAAAAAGCATCAAATGTTCATAGATTTAATACAGAATGGCGTGTAATTTTTGTTAATTCCGTTTAAAAATTTTCAAAATAAATTCTTTTTGAAGGTTTACGCAAAATTCAAGGTTTCTCCACCCTAAGTTTTGTTATTATTGGTATTTTCTGAAAATTTCACAAAAATCGAAATAAAAATAAAGGCTTAGAAGGAAAAGTGTTCAGTTAGCTCTTAAGTGAATATGAAATTTAATATTTTATTAGACGAAATAAATAAAATTTGTTTGTTTTGAATAGCATGTATAAACTATGAACTATTTACAGATTCAGAATCGATATAAACTATATTGGTGAACCACCCTCAATCGAAGTTACTATCTTCCATCTAAACGACAACATTGACAAGCTATTTTTAAGAGATATGCTTCAAAAATTCGGCCCAATCGAAGAACTATTTATTTACTATCACCCAAATACCAACAGGCATTTAGGAATTGGCCGAGTCATATTTGAAACTGTCGCGAGCGCTAAGGCTTGCGTCGAGAAACTGAATAAAACCAGTGTTATGGGCAAGATGCTCGACGTCTTTTTAGATCCTTTTGGGGAAAAGGTAAATTATTATATCAAGATTTTTAGAAGCTGGTCTATAATTTATTAAATTTTAGTGTAAACTCAAATTTGAAGAATTCACAATTGAAAAGAAAGCACCTGCTCTGCTCCCGCCGTCAATTGAAACATCTCCAAAAATGGAAGAGAAACCAAAAGCTGAAGCTGATAAACCTTATGACCCTGCTGATGAAGATTTTGACGAACCGGAACGTCTGAAAAAAGAAAAAGAGAAAGAAATCGAAAAGAAATTAATTATAGAAAGAGAAAACGATAGAATTATTAGAGATAGAGAAAGAGATGCCAGAGAAAAGGATAGTAGGTATGGAGCAAGGAGCTATAGGAGTAATGAGTTTGCCACTCCTAGTAGTACTGATATGGGATATACAACTGCACCTAGTGAATTTTCTACCAGCTTTGGATCAGCGGGGACGACTCCCTTGAGGTAAGTACTAAAATTTTGCAATTTCATTGAATATAAAATTATGTACTTTTATTATGTTATTGGTTAACTAACTCACCCGGCAGAATAAAAATGAGTCACTTAATTATATTTAGACGTGAGAGAAATAAAGAGAGTAGCTCTCGCCTCACCTATCTGCCGACCGTAATTGGAAGCAAGGTTACACCTCTAACGGTAGTGGGATAGCAAGTATGCTCTATTTCTGCCCATTCAATAGCTGTGTCAGTAGCATTGGTTTTCTATACCGTTCTCTGGAGAGAGGTTTAAAAAGTTAACATATTGCATATTAAGATTTTAACACCTGACATAGAGTATCCATGAACAGGGTATTGTAACAGGCATTGTAACAGGGTATTGTAATCGAATTCTGCTACTCAATTTAATTAATATTTTTGAGAAATATACACCCTAGTTTAAAAATTGTTTTACAAAAAAATGTTAGTTGTAAACAAGTTACAAGACATTTTTTTGCAAAATAAGCCCCCTACCCTCAGTAATGGATTGCTACCGACAATAAATTTTTCTTAATCCCAGTTTTCTCTAAAGACATGAGCAGGGGTAAAGGGATCAAATATTTTTACATGGTCAGGCTTAAGGGGTAAAACGGGCAAATATATTTACGTGGACAGGCTTAAGGGGTAAAGGGCTCTAATTTTTGTACATTTACATGCTTAAGGTATTAAAATTATTCCATTCCGTTGTTGGGAATCAATATTTAACTATCGTACAAATAAATTCAGTTCTAATGTCAATTTCAATTTTAAAACAATAAAGCTACCTTGTATACAATCTTTCCTAATATTAAATCAAACGCTGCCGATGATGATGGTATTAATTTAAAAATATTTGAGCTATGTATGCCAGCCATTGAATTATATATTTTGCATATAATAAACATCTGTCTCTTAGAGGGATATTTTCCTCAACAGTGGAGATCGCCTTTAGTTAGACCACTACCCAAAAAAATAATCCCGAACCATTTTGCGATCTGAGGCCAATAATCCTTCTTCCCTCATTATCTAAAAGTCTAGAGTTAGCCGCCTATGTACAAGTGTATAAATTCATGATTAAAAACAAAATAATTCCATTACATCAGTCCGGCTTTCAAAAAGGGTTCAGCACAACAACAGCTCTAGTAAATTTGCTAGATAACATTTGAACGAATATAGATAATGAAAATGTAGGACTTCCTGTTCTGCTAGATTTCTGTTAGGTGTACAAAATGTTCTTTTTACAGTTTTGATTTCACATCATTAAACTTTATTAATACATATTTAGCTAACCGTTCTCAAACTACGATGATGATTAATCAGTTTTCAATACCCTCGTTCGTAAAATCAGGAGTTCCACAGGGCTCAGTTTTAGGACCCCTGCTATTTCTATTGTACACTTCCTACTTGAATAAAGTTATCCAAAACATGAGTATGGGTAAAGGTATTAAATATTTTTACATTAGCAGGAGTAAAAGGACCAACTATTTTTACATTTGTAGGCTTAAGGGGTAAACGACTCAAATATTTTTACATGAAAATGCTCAGTATGGCATTGCTAGGCAAACTTTTAATAATATTTTCTGTATTTACGTCATTCCATCTAAATTACTTCAAACATTACAAACTATTTAAAAAATGTAATTACAATTACTTCAAATAAAAAAATTCTTACTTTTTTCTAAATAAAAAGTAGGAAATGCAAGTTGCTTGAATTGTTTAAACAATTTGTACAGAAATGACCATATGGAATGGTTATTAAAAACCAGGGCTATCTAACACCAATGCTTCACAAAATTGAAAATTTAACTTCTTAACCCATTCAGTATGACTGCCGTACAGGTACGACTTCCGATTCTCCATCATGCAGGCTTGGCGCTTGACGCTTTAATTCCCATGCATACTACCTTTATTTCGTCGACCCTGATCTAGATAGAAATTGAAGTAACTTGAATTTTGAATTTTAAATATCAGTGTTTTGTTTTGAGAAATTGAAGAGAATTAGTACAAGTTATATTTAACCTCACTTTTTCCGCTTGTATCTTCGTAGCAGATATGACCGCAATTTCCTTTTGATTTAAGCAAATATCAAACCAATACACAGAAAAGCAAACCTAAGCCAATATTTTGATAGCTGATTTTGACATTTAAAATGGTGAGCGAAGTTTGGCTCAAAAGCTGGATTCTGATTAAAAATGGAATAAGCATTTATTTTGTAACCAGTATGTGTATTACCTTCAGCTAATCCATCTGAACGCTTAATCTCCACCATTTATATCGGGGATTTAAGAGGGTTTTACCAAGTTGCTAGATGTTCTATCCGGATTGAACCTTTGAATTAAACTTAGTAAATATTTCTCATCGTCTTTTATTCAAAATAAAATCGTTTTTTCTCTTTTCTTTTATGCTACAAGTTTTCCCATGAGCAGTCTCAGTCTTGATAAGGTGGGAATCACCAATTTAATGTCTCTCGATTTAAAAGTATTTATCGTTTCATACCTTCTACTGTATTATCAGAATTCACCTTTAATAAAAATTGTGTAATATCAAATCATAATTAAATATATTAAATGCATACTTTCAGTTACGACTTCCATACCCACAGTCTCCCTCCTATACCCAACCATTTTTCTTTCCCTACGCCCACCTACCACCCGATTCCCGCCCCACCTCCTAGCGTATGGCCCACCACTCCCATAGCACCGCACCAATGGACACCCGACACGTGGGAAAGGTCGCCAGCAGGTTTGGCACCACAACTTCCACCTAAATGGTCTTCATCCAATGAAGAAAAACACTCGCACGGCAAGAATAAAGAACGGGATTGGAGGGACAGGGAGCGCGACAAAGACAGGGAGAAGGACCGAGATAAGAAAAGGGATAGTGGGAGGAATAAAAAGGAGAAGGAGAAAGAAAAGGAAAAGGTAAAGATAATGAATATTTATTTTCCAATTATGTATTACTGTCATTTTTTTTTTAAATCTGCTGTATTAACTGGAATAAATTTGCTAGCGGGAAGGTGAATAATTTTTCTAAAATTTCTTGAGACACATTAACGTTTTAATATATTTACCTACATTTTGCAAGCAATTTGAAAAATATAACCCTTCGGGGGTACCTGAAACCACCCTCAACATATTTTTTCAAATGAAACCCTGTGGCTTGTGACCATTCATTGCAAAGCTGATGGAACGAGGAATCCAGCGTACTTATCAAATTTTAGTTTCTACTGCGGGGGTTGCATAAAATCAAAACGTAATTTAAAAGTTTATTTTATTTTCAATATAACAAGTGCCCAAAATGTGCATCATTGACTTATTGGCAGCATCCCAGTCGGTGGTATTTTTCGTTTCTTAGGTTACGCAACGTTTCCGGTGTTATTTTATTGATTTCCTCTCTTATCTTTTCCTGTAGGTCTGCTATGTTGTTGGGTTTTTGAATGTAGACTTTACTTTTGAGATGTTCCCATAAAAAGAAATCCAGCTGTGTAAGGTCTGGTTTCTAATCCACCTCCCGGGAAAAATTATGTCCAGATATTGACGAACAATAGCAACAGTGTGGCGGGGCCCCATCTTTTTGAAACCGTAGCCTTTCGTCAGTCAAGTTGGGGTTCAAGGGATTTGGAAATAAATGACATGTTGGAGAAAATGTACATTAGTTTTCTGTGCGCGCTGAGTATGAAATTCCCTCATCCAATGGGGGTTCTCTGCAGCCCAATAACGACAGTTTTGGCGATTTAAGTGCCCATTAAATGTAAAAGTAGCTTCGTCAGAGAAAGTATCCAGTCTAAAGATAAATGGCTTTGATCAATAAGAGTCATCAACAAATCGCAAAATTCCAGTCGTCAATCTGGATCATCTTCTAGTAGCTCTTAGACAGCCTGCATTTTATATGGGCGTTTTTTTTTTTTTCATATTTAATAATAATAATCCTTTTAGATCATATACATGATATAGGATAAATCATTTAAATAAATATATATTACGGAAAGATCCATTAGTATACATAAATTACACAAAATAGCTTAAATACATTATAAAAGTGGGTTCAAAAAATCTTAACATTAAATATATGAGATGAAATATACCAAAGTTATTAAAAACATATTCTTTTCACATCATTTTGGAATTGACTAATTGAACACCCAGTGACATTTAAATTGTATTGATTAGCCAGTCTCATTAGTCTAGGTAGGGGCACATGATAAGCATAATTAGTGAGGTGAAGTTGAATTGCAAATAGACTATTATTCCTTGTAGTTCTTGTGGGAACTATAAGTCCAATCATGGATAATAACTCATCAGAAGTAACATTTACATGTAAAGATGTACAATAATATACATTTACAAAACAGATATAAAAATCTAACTAACACATTTAAATACAAATTTAACAATAAATACACAAAATTAAAATTAGGACTGATATGCTTGAAAACACCCATATGACATAGGCTGTACCTTGTACTACAAAAACTACAGGAGAAATTCATGAATGCTATAGGGGCATTTTTGGGATAAATAGCTTTTTAATTTGCATTTAAATGAGCTCAGACTATTAATTTGTTTTGAGAGGTAGATAGATGATTGAATAACCTTATTCCACAGTAGTATGAACTTTTTTCAAACATGGTTGAAACATGAGGGGTTATGCGTAGTAAATTTCCACTACGAGTACTATAATTATGGTTGTCTGAGTTACGGGTAAATTTGGAGATGTTTGTTTTAACGTATATAACACATTTGAGAATATATAAGAATATATATTGCTGGAAAAGTCAGTATATTATATCTTTTAAAAAGATCTCTACAGGTACTTCTAGCATCTAGGTTAAAAATTAATCTTATTAGTCTTTTTTGACAAACCACTCTTAACTTACCGGTCGCATTTCCCCAAAGCAATTTTTATAACGCTGTGTCTAGGTACACGCTAACTTGTACTTGTTCGTTTGATAGATAAATAGTTGTGATTAAGGGAAGGGTAGCAGAACTATTGAGATGTCTCAAATTTAATTGTAATAAATCAATGTGTATATAGTATATTATGCAACAATCATGTATTAATAATAATTTTACTACACCTGTCTCCTACCCGAAATAATTGATGCTAGATATCTGAGGAAAATGGAAATTCGTAATCCAACACCAGAATAATTACTTTCATATATGTAAATATCTGAATATTCGCCGTCTAAATTCTTATAGTTACTGGAGATTTTGTAAATAAACTTTAACTTAAAATGTCTAGTTTACTTTTAAACCATATATTTAATAACTATGACTTTAAAAATCATTGCAAAATTTACTATTCATATAAAACATGTTTTAGTTTTGATAAAATGAATAAAAAAAAAAAAAAATATAAAGAAATAAAAAAAAACCCTTCCCTCCCTCCGCCCTCATTTTTGATAAAAATTTCGAGGTTATGTTTCTCTTCAACGCCGGTTCACATAGAGAGTCGTCTTAATAACTTATAGTATAGGACAAGAAAAAAATATATATTCAGGTTAGCAAAATATACATTTAGTTGACATGACATGTACAAAATACTGTAAAAATAATTTTTATACATAAGATAATTATTATTGTCAAAGCTCAGAAAATAATTTTTTAGTTCGTCTTCGCTTTAATCCAATAACGGTTTGATCGGCTCCTTTAGGTCTTCCTTTTATTTTAATTTTGGGCCGTAATACTATTTCACTTAATACTAAAAAAAATAATAATTTATAGCGATTACAAATAAAACGTATCTATGAAAATCTTACTTCTGATTTTTTCGTTGCTTTCCATAGTTAAAACTGATTCCCCATATCCACTTTCGATTTTTTGCCAATTTTCAGTAAAAATTTTTTCTTCGTTAGGTACTAAAATTTCATTAACATCTAGAAAAGAAAAAATATTGTTAATTATATGAGTTTATTTTAACAATAATATCAAATAAGCAACAAACCAGTTATATTTAAGCTAAGATGTCTTTTGGTATAGTTAGTTGACCATGTCCATTTACAGATAAAATGTCCTTGTTATTTTGTTCTTCCATTAGATCTTTGAATTCAACTTCTATATTAGGCATTTCGTCAGTTACTAAAATCTCATTAACATCAGCTAGAGAAGAAGGAATATTGTTAATTATGTAAGTTTATTTTAACAATAATTTTAAAGCTCAACAAACCAGTTATATTTGAGTCCAAGATGTCTTTTGGCATAGTTTGTATACTTGGGCGTGAGGAAAAATTTCTTTGATCACATTTCTTTGTAGTAAATCCTTATCGCCTATAAAACTTTTTATTTGATTTTCACAAATAGAATTCTCTTCTTTAAAAATATTCATAAACCAAGAAAATGTTTCTTTGTCTTCGTGTGCAGTTAGCAATAACTTATAGGCACCATCTATAGAGACAAATTCAGGCCAGGATTTAATTGCTCTTCTCATGGAATCAGTTGAAAAATATAGAGCTTTAAATTGGTTTACAGAATCATGTAAAATGCATTCTAAAAAAATTAATGTAAAATAAATATATATGCAGGGTGTCCCGAAATGAGACGGTCATCTTTTAACAGTTTAATCTACATTCTTAAATAGAAGTAAAAGTTCATATAAACATATGTCTGAAAATGTTTCGTCTCCGAGATACAGGGTGTTCTGATGACACATTTTAGGACGCACAATTTTCAAGAGAAAAGCATTTGAAAATTTCATGATAAATTCATATTATCTTATTCGAAAGTGCAAACAATAATTAGTAGGCCTGTGGAATCAAATATTTTATTTATTTTTTCAGCCTGGAAAACCGGTGAATAAAGAAATTTTAATTTTAATTGATTTTTAAATGTTTATTTTATAAACAATCTTGTTTTTTCCAAATGGTTTGGTTGGCCTTGGCCCAATAAAACGATTGATGAGAATTTATTTCTTAAACTGTAGACGTTTAAACTATTTATTTAAACTAATTTTACCCTAAGCTCCCCCTAATTAACCCGTCTATGAAGGTGATCAAAAACTGGGGTTTAGCCCATTAAATATAACGTAAAAAGTTTAGAATCTGTACCAAATTTCATTTATTTATCTTTAAACGTTTAGAAAATATTTACAAAAATGTGTCATCAGGACTTAACTTTTAACACCCTGTATCTTGAAAACGAAACGTTTTCAGACCTATGTTTAAATGAACTTTTACTCCTATTTTAGCATGTAGTTTACGCTGCTAAAATATGACCGTCTAATTTCAGGACACCCTGTATAAGTATATTATATCTATAATAGTAACTCACTGTAAATATCTTTCAATTCCTTTACTACATGTTCTAAATCATTACTAGCACTTTTCATACCATATGCAATGTTTGATAGATCTTTCGTTGTGCTCAATTTTCCAGTTGAACACAATATTTTTTGTTGAATTAGCTTTTTATTCCCACGGACATCCATTAAATTCTCGACAGTACTTTGTTCATTAGAGTTTAGCTTACGGTTTGATGGCAAATAATCGTACACCACCTGAAAGAGAGAGGGTTATAAAATAACAAATAACCATTAAAATAAAAAAAAAATACAAAAAAGTACATATTACACTTCTGACATTTCATGATTTTCATGTTTCTCCACTAATTGTTTAATTTGGAGAAAATCACCTGTCTTAGTAGCCCGAATTTTGATTATGGCTGGACAATTCATTTTGTAAGTTCTAAAACATACATAAAATACACATTCAACACGGGTGTACCGAAGATTCCCAAATAATTAGGTATATCGATTAAATTCACAGAATAACAAATTGACAATAATAAAATTAGTATGTAATTTTTACCTTGTTTTACGATTGCCTTTTCCACGTCTTCTTACTGCACCACCATGAACACAATTATATTGAACTTCGTAATATTTAAGGTCTTCCTTTAATTTACGCTTTAAAATCCTTTCAGCC